GGGCTATCTGCCTGAGAGGAGGGATGCTTTCGTGGAGGACTTTCTAAGGGAAACTGCCTCATATACACGTTACACATGGGGAAAACCACGAAAACGCCCATGCAGCCAGCCCGTCTGCGTGATTCGAACCTCGGACTGAACTACCAATGTTCAGCGATTTTACCGCTCGGCCGCTGGTGGGCCCCCCAAATTCCATAATATAGATATATAATATATATATATATATATATATATATATATGTAATAATAAAATTCCATAGTCAAGAATGCACTTAAATTTCTAACTGTGTGTTGTTTTCATTTTTAATGGCGACGTTCTCTTATTTGAAAGTACGTGAAATTAAATCCACAGCCCCGTAGTCAAGTTGCTTTTCCCGCCTTTTCTACACGTACAGTCATAGAATGTTCTGGAAATATTTAAAGCGAACTGCAATGGCTGGCGAGGCTGACGTCATTTCTTGGAAGCTCCGCCTTTCCAGAGGCTATAAAAAGGACTCGCAAAGGAATATCGGGGTCTTTTCTTTAATGCAACGATGCAGTAAACTTCATACAAAAAGTTATTAGTAATTCTTTTTATTTACTCCGGATATCTGATTTTGTAACTGCTATTTCTCCCGAATAATAATAAATGGATCCTGTTTTTTAAACTTATCGTCTGATAATTTAAGCTTCGACTACATTTATGATTCTTCACCCATCTATTTATTACGGGCAAAAGCTGGTACATCACGTATATGTATATACACATACATACATTGTTTTGAAAGATAAGATTAATGAACACTTATACGTTTTTACCTACGTATTTTGAGTATTGAAATGCTAAAATTATATAATAAAATATGTTTCGAATAAAGTTAGGAATTTTATACTTATTATTTAGTTAATTTTTTACCATTTCAACTGAAAGTATTTAGGCTGCAAGCAAAAAACACGAAACTCTGAATAAATACGGCATAGCAGCATAAAAGCTATTTTAATATTCTACATTTCGTCAATAATGAAACTGCAAGTACTGCAATATCTGCGCCACTTTCAAAAGTTTCGTGGAATGTATTCAATTTTACTCATAAAACAAACAACTGAAGGAGAAACATGCCCGTTCTTGTTTACGGGCTAAAGAATTTAAACGTTGTGATAGCAGTAAAAACATTTGAACATGTTGCAAATGCAACAAAAAAATAGCAAAAGAAAAGTTTCGCTATTCCAGTTAACTCGAAGTATTCGAATAAAGTGTAGCCAGGCGTTGATTTTGATATTCTTTGTGACGTTTTTCTGTCTGTTTCTCTCTAGAGATGCAACAAAAGTCTAAATTTCTTAACTTGTTTTAAGCTGTAGCGAGTGAAGCAAATATTTAACGCTATGTGACTTTGGATACCAGCGTCTTCTTCTGGTGCACTATAAACAAGTGTAAAATTCTTTCATTTGTGCTACTTTCTTCCCTGGTGTTTCCATTTAAAGTTCGCTGACGATATTAAGTTTAGCTGTTGGTTGAAATTCCGCTATTGTATGTGTTTGTATTTTCTTTGTATTCTTTCAGTGTAAGAAAGGTTATAACCAAAATTGGAAAATTACTCATTAAAGTATTTTCTCTCGTCTTTCCGCATATCTTCATGTGTAACTGTAACACGCTTGTGGGGAAGGGTCTGGAGTTCGAATCCAAGGAAGGGCGTCCCATCAGCGGCCGAGCGGTAAGGTCGCTGAACACTGGTAGTTCGGTCCGAGGTTGAATTCCGCGAACGGGCTGGCTGCATGGGCGTTTTCGTGGTTTTCCCCATGTGTAACGTGTATACGAGCCAGTTTCCCTTAGAAAGTCCTCCACGAAGGCATCCCTTCCCTGAGGCAGATATCTCTAGTGTGCTTTGCCATAATTAAATACACCAAACACCACCCACGGAGGGCATGGCACATTTTTTACCTTCCTCCATCTATATAACCTATTGACTGTACAAACTATAATAAAAAACAAATGGAATAGGAATATTGTATGTTACATTTGTTCCAAACGGCCGCTGGGTTTAGATGCGTAGGACTGGTTTCGAACTTCCAAACGGTGGTTAGCGTTGCTGGCTGCCGTACAAGGCCCCGGGTTCGAATCTCGGAAGAGGTATGGATGTTTGTAAATCTGTATAATCTCTTTTCGGCATGGGGGCACTGTAAATATGCGGCGAGACGAAAGTTCTCTCGGGTGGTTTTCTGGAAGGAGAGAGGGGTGGGAGACCCTCGGACTCGTTCTCCCGGGGTGCTTTTCATCAAAATTGGGGGCGGAACTGAGCCAAATTGCACTGTCACCTGTTAGGTGCTCAAGGCTGTTGCCAACGGTTGGCGTATGCTGGCGCTTCTTGCCACGAGGAATCTAGTAGGCGTGGACTGACTACGTCAGACACCTGAGCATAAGGAACAACAATAACAGGCCTGGTTCCTAAGATTTTTAATGCTTCTTAATATTTATCTTATTGATTAAATGTTGTTTTTGTTTATTTCGTTAATGTAATAGTAATGTAAATAATGTGGGAATGTAATACATAAATAAAGTAAACGCACAAAATGTATATAATAAAAATGCAAAAAAAGTTTTGCAATGTCATCTTAGTAGTAAAACTGATTGATATAAAGAACTGAGAAAAGACTGAAGAAGAAAAAATCTGAAAGGTTTCATATTATAAATTGCGTCCAAAGGGACTTTTTTTTTTTTTTTTTTTTTTTTTTTTTTTTTAGCGTTTTGTGTGTTACCTTTATTTATTAAGTATCATGTTCTTCGCACTTATACCATAAAATTCATTTCCACAGCAATGTTGCAAAATAATTTTAAATTGAGCATGTCTTTAGAATTTCTGATACACAGGCTCACGCGCTGGAGATAAAAATGTTTTTTCTCTACAACGTTGCCATCGCTGGCTTCTAAATCCTTGAGTTTGTTAATCAAAAATTTGTTCAAGTTTTACAAAATAGGAAATCGATGATAAAACAAATTCCAAATTTCAAATTTGGGCTTTCAGATGCCCATATTCACAGTAGGATGACGTCATTCAAAATTGGATGGCTCTGGGTACCGTTGTTTTATCACAATGCGAGAAATCTACATACATTTAAGCAGACTCTTCATTATTTAATTTCTTCAAATATAATACACAGCTATAGTATTTGGTGGCAACGATTTGAAAAGTGGTACGCCGTTTGTAGGGTTCTGTCGCAAAACCGCAAAACGAAACATTAGTCCTTCAATGACTTTGGACTAAAAAAACAGAAAAATACATACCAACACTACCATGCTTTAAAAAATTGTGCAATTTTGCTGTTGAATTGTATATTAATTTCGAAGAAAACGACATTTTATGTAGGAGTGTGCGTGTAACAGCAGACTGGTAGGCTGCGAGCTAAACGAGAGCGTAAAAACCCTCAACATATCCTTTTGGTCCATCGTTCAATAGCAATATTTTATTAACATTGTAATTTTCCTTTGCTGCTGAGTGGCTTATGTATTATAATTTTGCTTTGTACGTTCATCTCTCGGAGCTTAAATGTCATATATTACAGTTAGTAGGTAATATTTTAAATCTAGGTTTTGAAATCCTTAGAATGCCCTTGAAAATGATGAAATATTTACTGCATCTGTTGTAATATTAAAGCTGTCGTGCACCATTTGTATTCATGTCCAATAAATGTTTCAAATTAATTTCGCTTCTTTCTTTTCCCCATCTTCTACCTATGCTACCATTTACCCCTGACATTTTCGGGCATGGGTTCCTATGCAATTCTTAATCCTTATGATGTACCCGACTCCCTTAGAAGTTTGTCGCAACATTTGCGGTACATCCTGTATAATAAACTTCCGACGCTTTTTTTTTTTCATATCTTAAATATATTTATCGTAAAATATTAATAGAAAGCAAACAGTGTAAGCATAACATCTATGCACATTTTTATATCATTTCTTTTGAATATAACGGGTGGCCATAATTAAACTGACAGTGCTCACAGTGTTCTCTAGCGCGATCTATTTTCGAGAATGACGCCACATTTTGTAGGAAGATTAAACAAGACGGGGGACGAAGGATTCCGCGAAAAAAATTTAGTTCCAAAAGTCACCGCTAGTGGATTATTTGGCGCTGTGTAATAGAAAATGGAGCGTTAACAAATGCAAATCAATACGGAAATTACCTTTTATTTTGCATTCAAATGAGGTTCAATGTGGGTGCGTTGTTGTGGACCACATATTGCATTCTGTGCACAATATGCCCAACAGCAGAAAGTAACATGTCTTCAGAAATCTCCCGTACAGTCCGTGATATGTTATCTTTCCACGTAGCCAGGTCTTGGACCACCCTTTGATAAACCTTGGACTTAAGGTAACCCCACAGCCAGAAGTCGCATGGGGTAAGAGCAGGCGACCGAGGTGGCCATGCAGTTGCAAAGTAGCGGCTAATTTCTGTCGTAGCATCTAATTTCTGTCGTAGCATCTGTTGCACCCGTACAGCAACGTGTGGACGGGCTCCATCTTGCATGAAAATGATTTCCCCCAGGCATTGTCTTTGCTGAAGTGCCGGAATGACAAAGCTGTTCAACGTTGTGGCGATATTTCTCTCCGGTAACAGAACAGGTTTCCGGTCCTGTTGGGGTAATGTTTTCATAGAAAAATGGACCTACGATAAATTTTATTCTGTATTGATTTGCATTTGTTAACACTCTATTTTCTATTACACAGCGCCAAATATTCCCCTAGCGGTGACTTTTGGAATTAATTTGTTTTTTCGCGGAATCCTTCGTCCCCCGTCTTGTTTAATCTTCCTACAAAATGTGGCGTCATTCTCGCAAATAAATCGCGCTACAGAACACTGTGAGCACTGTCAGTTTAATTATGGCTACCCGGTATTTCTCATTTTGCTGTAGTTTGATTAGTGAGGCGGGAAGATACCTGTACGACCAATTGTGAAATTCGGGTATCCCGCTCACCTGTAATTTGGGACTCTTCTTATACTATCAATTTCTTGTTTTTTCAGGAAGCACAGCAGTGGAGACTTACATAGCAGACTTAAAACAAGAAAGATATTAGGCGTTGGTGAGACAGACAATGGAGATATTCACAGGTCAAAGGTAAAAGCATTCCACTCTGTTTTAATTCAAATGCAACTGAAAAACTTCATTAACGCAATTTAACTTTTTTTATGTCATTGTCATCAGTATGAAGAATTATACTTGCTTATTATATATATATATGCATATGAAAAATAATTTATAACTTTGAAGAGTAAAAAATCTAATGTGTACACCACATGACTTCCTTGCGCGGAATATTAAGTTATACACATTTTTTCCTGCGTTTAATTTAAACCTATTTCCTCGGATATATATATATATATCATTCAATTAATTCAGTCTCACATCTCGGCAAGGCGAAAACATATAATTTTTACAATTAAAATTACAGTTTATACGTAAAAACAAGTCATTTGGCCAGCCGATAAGAAGTCAGATTTTTCGTTGCACAAAACTAAAAGTTTCCTTTTGGACCCACTCAAGAAAAGGACTCTGAAGTGGCAGAAAGAATTAATGCGGCGAGCGAGAAGTCATCTTGTGTGGTTTTGTGGAAGGGCAAAGGGGTAGGAGTCCCTCAGATCCGTCACCCCGGGATGCTGGCCGTCAAAACTCGAAAAAAGGACGACTGGCGTTATCAGGGGACCCAATCGCCAGATCTTGGGTGTGGAGAAACTTAAACCAACACCCTTTTAGTTCGGGCACCACTGTAGAGACATTAGATATGTTTGGAAATAGAAGAGGTGAAAAATTAGCAACCGCCTTTCCCGGGAATCGAACCACGGACCTCTGGAATACCGGCCCAGTGTGCAGAACCACTACATCACGAAGGCTTAGGAAGGCGGGAGAAATACCTTATAAAGTAAGCATAAGTAACAAAAAAAAAAAAAAAAAAAAAAAAAAAAAAACAGGCCATGTAATCCTAATCATGTGAATGCACTCTGAGTCTGATGTAAATTTTAGAAATACGTAAATTCAGCGTATAGTTTCGTGTTTTGTAGATAGTAGTACAGTAATATTACATAAATACGTCTGTTTTGATACGTTATAGATATTCTTTTTTAATATACATCTATCTATTTGTCTTACCCAATTACTTTTCCGTAATATGTCACTTTGTAAAATTGCAGAAATTAAAGCATATCTATAGTATTTGTAACCAGAACAAACTTGTTTTATATCGCATTTTTAGCTCTTTTTGCTTTTATTTTTATCATCAGCTGATCGAGGAATTTCTGTTATTTCAGATAAGTCAACTTCTTGGACATAACGAGCACTTGTACGTGAAATTTCCTCGTGGTTACTGGCTTTGGCATTTTTCGATGGCGTTGGCGTTCACATTTCTCGGTCTCAATGTAAGTATTTTTTGTGGATTTGTTCATTTATGATCTTCCTCCACTTGCCGGTAATAGAAACACGCTTCATAAATTAAATGATTTTTGCGGTATGCTTAGATAGTATAATAAAACTGATGATATGTAACAGGAGTATTTTGGAAGCCTTTCACAAAATACATATTTTCCGCTTTTATTTATAACAGCAATTACTTAAATACAAAACGATTAATTTTTTATTACTTTCATTTTACGTATACTCACTGCTTCTAAAGATCAATTGATCTGAATTTTTTTTTAGCCGAAAGGGGCAATTTCCACAGAAGGGCTATTAATTTTGTTTTGGCATTTTGCGTTGTTTCACTATAAACGGCGAATCACTTTTTAAATTGTTGCCACCAAATACTGGAGCCCTGTATTATATTTAAAAAAATTAAATAATGAAGAATCTACATAAATGTATGTATGTTTCTTTCATTGTGAGGGCCCACCAGCGGCCGAGCGGTAAAAGTCGCTGAACACTGGTAGTTCGGTCCGAGGTTCGAATCCCGCGAACGGGCTGCCTGCATGGGTGTTTTCGTGGTTTTCCCCATGTGCAACGTGTATACGAGCCAGTTTCCCTTAGAAAGGCCCTCCACGAAGGCATCCCTCCTCTTAGGCAGATAGCTTTAAAATCACTTTTAAATCTCACTTATCTCACTTTTAAATTGTTACCACCAAATACTAGAGCCCTGTATTATATTTAAAGAAATTAAATCATGAAGAATCTGCGTAAATGTGTAGAGACATTAGGTGTTTTGGAAGCAGGAAAGATGAAAAATAGCAATGCCTTCGCCGGAAATCGAATCACGGACCTTTGGAATACGCGCCTAGCGTGCAGACCACCGCACCACTATGACACGCCAACAAGGTGGAAGAAATACCTTATATTCTCCCCCTTTTAAATGGCAACTGAGGTTTTTCAGGGTACCCAATCGCCAAATTCTGGGTGAGAAGAATCATCATCCAACACCCTTATAGTTCGAGCGCCACTGTAGAGACATTAGGTATATTGGAAGCAGAAAAGATGAAAAATAGCAACGCCTTCGCCGGGAATTGAACCACGGACCTTTGGAATACGCGCCCGGCGTGCAGACCACCGCACCACTATGGCACGCCAACAAGGTGGGAGAAATACCTTATATACTCCCCCTTTTAAAGGGCAACTGAGGTTTTTTTAGGGTACCCAATCGCCAAATTCTGGGTGAGGAGAATCTTCATCCAACACCCTTTCAGTTCGGGCGCCACTGTAGAGACATTAGGTATATTGGAAGCAGGAAAGATGAAAAATAGCAACGCCTTCTCCGGGAATCGAAACACGGACCTCTAGAATACGCGCCCAGCCCGCAGACCACCACACCACGAAGGCACAACAAGAAGGTGGGAGCAATACCTTATAAATGTATGTATGTTTCTCGTACTGTGATAAAACAAAGGAATGTAAAGCCATCCAAATTTGAATAACGTACCCCTCCACTCGAATATGACCATCTGGAAGCCGGACTTTTTATTTTGTTTTGTCATCTATATCATATTTTGTAACACTTTACCGAATTTTTAATTAAGAAACTCAACGATTTCAAAGCGAGCAATAGCAACAGTGTACGAAAAAAAAAAAAAAAAAAATTTTATCTCAGTGCTCGAGACTGTGTATCTGAAATTCTAAAGATATGCACATTTTGAAATTATTTTGCGATATTGCTGTTGAACTGAATTGTATGTCTTAAGTGCGAAGAACATGATACTTAATAAATAAAGGTAACACACAAAACGTTAAAAAAAGCCTCTTTCGACGTAATATAAAACCTTAAAGCTTTCGGACCTTATTTTTTAATTGCATATGTTGTTTCCTAGCACAAATAAGCAGAAGTCGAAATTTAAATTCACTAATTAATATTGTCATATTTCAATAGTCGTATCAGCATTTGCTAACGATGAATCAAAAATAAAATACTCTTCGCAGTATTTCCGGAATTATTTTATAGAACGTTTAATAAGTGCTGAATTTGGTCTTTAATTTTACCATCCCCTTTAATAGAAAATTTTCCTCCCTCTCTTTAAATGTTTTTCTTTAATTCGATAGACAACTTCATTTCATATCTTTCGAAAAGTTTCATATAACATGGATTGTTCTTTATTTTGGAGCGAGAAACATACGTTTCAAAGACGAAACGATCATATTTTATTATTGCCAAAGTATTTCTATTGTATATAAAATATTGGAATTTCTGTCAGAGTTTTTCTGTTTATTCTTCAAGTCTGGAGTGCATTTTCAATCGAATTTCTTGGCCTTAGAGTTGAAAACGGATATGATTCGTATATTTGCAACGCGTCTATGCGCAGAAATGTAGCATTTGTATTTTTATAACAAACAATTTAACTTTTGTTATTATTATTATTTATGTGAGTTCAAAGTATTCATAAAATACCAACAATAACTTTGTTACCTTATCTTTGAATATTATTAGTGACTTCAGATCATGGCTGAGACGACTTTTAAAGATTTTGTAGATCTGTTAGCTATATGTTATTTATTATATTAGATCTAGATTTTTTTTCATTCTGTATTAGATATTGATTTACTTAAGATTCTTGAAAGATATATCGTTGCTAGAAAATCCTTTATGTTGGCATCGACTGTGGCAGGTTGGAGTAGTCTGAAGGGTATTCCTTGTATTATCGTGAAGTCGTCGTTTCATTTATCGCCAAGTCAAAAGAGTGCGCAATGCCAAGTTTGTGCAATTTTGTGATGTTTTCTTAAGTGAAAATAGGTCGATGTGTACATGGATACCGAGTTTGTGCAATTTTGTGATGTTTTCTTAAGTGAAAATAGATCGATGTGTACATGGATACCGAGTTTGTGCAATTCTTTAACTTGTTATTTTGTCTTTGTGTAGCGGCGATTTTTGGCGCTGATATCGCCGCTACACAAATGGAGAAAACAAAGCCAAAATAAAACCAACACCAACCAAAACGAAGCCAAAATAACCAATACATCCAACACAAAGACAACCAACGCGAACCAAGATAACTAGTCAAAGAATTGCACAAACTCGGTATCCATGTACCGCCAAATTTCGCCAAGGGGTACCTTTAAATATACTTGCACCCTGTGATATTAATGCCCAGCAGGGGCTGAGCGGTAAAGTCGCAGAACACTGGTAGGTTCGAGGTTCGAATCCCGCGAACAGGTAGACTGCATGGGTGTTTTCGTGGTCTTCCCTATGCTGTATTGGTGTATTTAATTATGGCAAAGCACACTAGGGCTATCTGCCTAAGGGGAGGGATGCCTTCGTGGAGGACGTTCTAAGGGAAACTGGCTCGTATACACGTTACACATGGGGAAAACCACGAAAACACACATGCAGCCAGCCCGTTCGCGGGATTCGAACTTTGGACCGAACTACCAGTGTTTAGCGACTTTACCGCTCGGTCGCTGGTGGGCCGGTCTTTCCTATGTGTAGCGTATATACGAGCCAGTTTTCCATAGAATGTCCTCCACGAAGGTATCCATTCCTTAGGCAGGTACTGGTCGATTGCTTTCCTTTAATCCAATAAACCAAATCTCATATTAATTTCACAACGTCTCGGTATTCCGATATATTTTTTTATGTGACTACAGCAAATTAACTGTGGGCAGATTAGCAATCCCTCCCCCTTAGGCAGAAAGCCTCGTGGGTTATGGGTCATCTGCCTAAGGGAAGGGATGCCTTCGTGGAGAACTTTCTAAAGGAAACTGGCTCATATACACGTTACACGTGATGAAAATCACGAAAACGCCCAAGGAGCCAGCCCGTTCGCGGGATTCGAACCTCGGACCGAACTACCAGTATTCAACGACACGACTTTAGGGCTCGCTGTTCCGAAGCCTCTGTGAACATCATTATATGAAGTTTTCAGTCATACATATCGTTGCACCAGCATATATCTGGGAAGGAGAGAGATTATTTTTAGCATAAATAATTCGTGTTTATTTATTTATTTATTTATTTATTTATTTTTTATTATTATTATTATTATTATTTTCGGTGTCCGAATACTTACTCTGAAGCATTTGTTTTATAATTTTGAAGAATACGTATTTATTACCCGCAGATAAATATTCTTTTCTTGCAAATTATTGGCACTTACCGGGCATATTAACCATAGTTATGTTTGTTTTTCAGAACTTGTTTTTTCCTGATAAATCTTACGATTTACCAGCAATAAACGATAATCCTCAACTAATTGGACACCAGGATCTGGCAACTAGATTTTATGGATGCGCTTTGTTAGGTAAGTAAAAAAGATAAAATTTGACTTTTTATTAAAAGAACCAATCATATTTCATAAAACTGTGAAAATGCTGTTTTACGGAAATCTCAATAAAACTTATCTGTTCTTCGAAGTTTACGCAATCATGTTTCATGCTTGTTTTTTTGCAACCTTCAGTTTTGTCACTGAACTTATATTGTTGATGAATAATTTTTAAATGACAGTGGTTGAATTTGCCATTGTGAAGTAATTTTTATCCTTTCGTGCTGTGTATTTTGTTATTGAATGCATTATAGATTCATTAATATTATATTAAAATTTCACAGATGTATGTCCAGTAATTTTTAGATCAATATAAAATCATTTCCATTATTAATATCATTCCCGTTTATTCATCAATGCCGTTATAAAATGATTAATTATGATTATAGTATCAGTACTTGCTCTTTAAACAGAAAGAAACAGAATTTATGATATATATGTAATAATAAAATTCCATAGTCAAAAATACACTTAAAATTCTAACTCTATGTTCTTTTCATTTTTTAATGGCGACGGTCTCTTATTTGAAAGTACGTAGAATTAAATCCACAGCCCCGTAGTCAAGTTGTTTTTCCCGCCTTTTTCTACACGTACAGTTATAGAATGTTCTGGAGATATTTAAAGCGAACTGGAATGGCTGACGTCATTTCTTGGAAGCTCCGCCTTTCCAGAGGCCATAAAAGGACTCGCAAAGGAATATCGGGGGTCTTTTTTTTTTTAATGTAACGATGCAGTAAACTTCACACATAAAGCTATTAGTAAATCTTTTTATTTACTCCGGAAATATGATTTTTGTAACTGCTATTTCTTCTGACCAATAATAAATGGATCCTGTTTTTTAAACTTATCGTCTGATAATTTAAGCTACTACTACATCTATGATTCTTCACCCATCTATTTATTCCGGACAAAAGCTGGTACATCACATATACATATATTTTTCAAATTTCGAATTCCTTTTCACTTTTTCAAAAATTTTAACTTAAATGTTTATATCCGTTGATAACTTTTATTCCGGAATTTTCTTATGATGATGCAGACAGGTTTTTCAAAAATTCTAAACTTTTTTCAAAACTTCTTTCACAACTTGCTGCAACTTCTTCAAACGTTGCAGTTGAAAAATGTATAATTTGCGAACAAGATAAACATATTTGAGATTTACCATAATTTCACGAAATTCGATATTAGATTTTAAAGCTTTTTATTCTTTACTCGACATACTCACATTTAAATGTAGATTTTGTAACCTTTGACATCGAAACTTGTAGTAACTAATGTTTAGAGTTTAATTGTGTATATAAGATGTAAACATATTAGCGAGTTCGTAAAAAGATAAAGCCGTCTAATGAAATTCTAATAAAATAGTCCTGAAAAGTAGTAGTTTAACGTGTTTGATTTTAAAACATTAATAACATTTTTAAGAGTAGCTTTTAAGATTATCTTTAGATTTAAAGCAAATTTTGAGATGATTTCTACTGCAGTTGGGTTAGCGATTAATGATGGTTTTGCAAACATAATGCCCGCTTCATCATAAATAAATTATCCCAAGACAGGAGGGGACTTCTTAAGGGACAGGCTTCAAGCTTATGCTTGTTTACTTCGAATCTCCATAGATATTTCTAGCAAAATAATACAAATAATTCTTCGCTGTTAGGATAACCTCACACGACAAATGGCTTCAAAACATTTAAGCCTGCTATCGTGTCTAAACTACTCTTTAAATTATATTGTTGCGTTTTTACAGGTTCGTGGATTTAGAGTGATTAACGACAACACTTGATGAAATCCCAAAACGCAGTTTGTTTGCCAGTACTACTCAGGAACAGTTTCAAAAGCACATTTACAGCCGTCGAAAAAATACGATAAGCACGCTGAAACGATCAGCAACGTAGCTATCAGGCAATAAGACAGCTTCACGACAAAGCACTAAAGTACAGCTCCCGACTCGATTCGGTCGCTCTCGGAGCTTTGATCTCAACGTACTCTCGATACAACTCAAAATGCACTCGACGATGCACTGATGATAAACTGCTACTCCGCGCGCAGGAAGGGTTTATATAACTTTTGGCCTGTCTTCGAGAACATTCTGTGGCAAATCGATCAGAATTCGTACTAGTATAATGCAGAATTCGTACTAGTATAATGCTCTGTTTATCGCATACCGCCACTTTTGTCGCCAAATGAGCGATTTCGTGACAAATATGGCAACCCTAAACCCGCTTTGCGGAGAAGGTATCCTACCGCAGCTGGACGTTTCGTAACAGTATGATTCAGTGTCACCGACATGTACAGTTTCTCATCGACTTTTTTTTTTTTTTTTTTTTTTTTTTTTTTTTTTTTTTTTTTTTTTTTGTCTTGTAAATTTGATTGTTTATTTGTACCACTATCAATAATATGTTGAATAAATTTCATTTATTTCCGACAGTTCCTTCATGGAGTTGCATTTTTCACAAACATTAGTGTATATATGTTACGGTGAAACACCGAAATCTGGAGAATGTCGACTTTCACCGGTGAATGTCAACATTCACATAGTCTCTTGGTGTATGTCCGAAATATTTTCCAAATACTCTTATTTCTGACTTACACCGGTCAATGTCGACATTCACCATGTACTAATGGTGAATGTTGAACATTAAACAATATTATATTTTCTTCTTCGTCATTCGGTCCCTAATAAACGCACCCGAAACTTGAAATAAGAACTTAAGAACATGAGAACCTAACACACAATACATTCAAAATGAGAAAGGAAAATAACAGAAGTTAAAAACTTACTTAATTATACAGTACGTTCTAAATGAGAAAATAAAATAACAGTAATAAAAAAACTTACTAAATTATGGGATTCAAATCTTATTTATTGCAACAACTTAAACTATTATGGCACTTTATGACCTCTCTTTTCGACTCTCACCAGAGCATATCTGTGATGGTCGACCTACACCGGTGAGGGTCCGAATATACAAGAATGTAGTGAAATATTCGGTCTTTCACCGACGTATTTGGTGAATGTTGATATTCTCCGGTGAAAGTCGACATTCTCCAATTTCGGTCTTTCACGGTAACATATATAATACATAATCATATGCACACTATTATTATAATAGGTAAAAGAAATTTCTTGCATCATACATATGTCATGCACAGCTGCAGAATGTGCTCCGCCTTGTAAATTAATTGCTATGTATGTCATTTTAAAATTCATTTTATACTATAATATATATAAACTTATTAAAATTATATTGTTACTTCCTTACCAACAGCCGTCGCATTTTGCCTGTGGACATTTTGGGGCACAATGGATAAAGGCGTTGTAAGGACACTACTTCTCGCCTTGGCAGTCTGTCATTCCCTTCAGGTATTAGGTAAGTGAATTTCTGTTTGAGATTTGCTTCGTATCGTCTTATAACCCTCCATTGAGGAAAGGTAACTCTTACTAATGTTATGATGTTTCATTTCATGAAGTCACTTTCTTTGTATATTTAATAATATGTAGTTAAATACAAAAAGAGAAAATTTATTATTGTGCATTTTTATTTTTAACAAATTACTTTTCCATTAGAGTTTAAATTAATGTAATAGATTCCACGAACTTTGAATATATTTCAACTTTCTATCGTACGTATTTTGCCTGTTTTGTTTTAATTTGCGATAGTAAATAATCGTGTTACGTAATCGTAGCAGCAATTTCGCAGGATATTGTTTTGTAAGTTCGAATTTACATAATGTTTTTCAATTTTAATTAGTTTTTTATCTATATATGTAATTTAATAAAGAATATGAAAAATATATTAATGAAAGTTATCTCTAAAGAAATCTGAATTGAAACTTAGGAAGCAGAGATGCACTATTGTGGTAACTATTAATTGAAATTTATAAATAAATACTCTGAAATTGCCAATTAAAATGCGGGTTCACAAGCAGCCCGAGCGGAAAATGCGCTGAACTCTGGTAGTTCGGTCCGAGGTTCGAATCCCGCGAACGGGCTGGCTGCATGGGCGTTTTCCTGGTTCCTGCATGGGCGTCCCAATGTGTAACGTGTATACGAGCGAATTTGCCTCAATTCTTTCAATTATGCAAATCCAATTATCTGCATTTTCCTCATTTTTATTTTGAATTCGATACTGATAACCATTATAAACGGCTAAAAGTTTTTCCTTTCAGTTCCAGGCCCGCCAGCGGCCGAGCGGTGAAGTCGCTGAACACTAGTAGTTCGGTCCGAGGTTCGAATCCCGCGAACGGGTTGGCTGCATGGGCGTTTTCGTGGTTTTTCCCATGGGTAACGTGTATACGAGCCAGTTTCCCTTAGAAAGTCCTCCACGAAGGCATCCCTTCCCTTAGGCAGATAGCCCTCGTGTGCTTTGCCATAATTAAATACACCAACACCTTTTAGTTCCAATAATGTCTAAAACATCCATATAACATATATATAACCATATGTTAATCAATACATAACATATATTGATTAACATAAGATGGGAAAATAATAGCTAATATTTTAGCAGAATTACAATTGGAATGAAACTAAAGATTTCGAGAGGAGCCTAAACTAAGACACATCTTCAATCTAACGAAGCCTAACTTATTCACAAAGAAACTCTTCTTGATGACTCATCAATACATCTCCTGATGAGCTGTGGGAGGGGGCCTGTACTCCGATTTCGCGGGAACAGGAAGAATTTTGAAAAACGCGGAAAGAGAAATTGCAGATACAGAACTAATTCGAAAATTTGGTAATGGATGATTCAAATGAGAATTTAAATAAATGCAAGCATATTGTTATTTAGATGGCAACAGATAAAAAACTGAGATAAAATAAAATGATAAAATTAGCAACAGAGACTAAAGCAACATTAATTATAATGAGTGTTGAACGTATTTTGAAACTTATGATCATCAGAATTCACTTACTGCTAATTTTTGTTAAATTTAATGAATATGCATTTCGTTTATGTGATAGTCAATGTGGTGTTTTATCTTACAATCACCGCTTATACATGTCTTGAAAATATATTTATTAGTCTTTTTTTTTTTTAGTCCAAAGGGATTTGAATCCCGAAGGACTATTAGTTTCGTTTTGGCATTTTGCGTCGGACTCATAAATGTCGGTTCACTTTTCAAACTGTTGCCACAAAATGTTAGAGTCCTGCATTATATTTGAAGAAATTAAATAATGAAAAATCTGTATAAATGTATGTCTATTTCTCGTATTGTGATAAAACAACGGTACATAGAGTCATCGAATTTTGAATAACGTAATCCTCCAACGAATATGAGCATGTGGAAGATCCAATTTGAAATTTGAAATTTGTTTTAGGATCGATTTCCTATTTTTTAAAACTTTGACGAATTTTTGATTAACAAACTCAAGGATTTCAAAGCGAGCCATGGCAACGTTGTGCAGAAAAAACATTTTTATCTCCAGCGCGTGAGTCTCTGTATCGGAAATTCTAAAGATATGCTCGTTTTAAAATTATTTGCGACATTCCTATTGAACTAAATTTTATGGTTTAAGTACAAAGAACGTGATAAAGGTAACACGCAAAATGTTTAAAAAAAAGTTCCTTTAGACGTAATTTAAAATCTGAAGCCATTCAGATTTTTTGTACTTTTCTTTTTTAAATTATTTTTTAATATTTTTTGTATAAAGATTTTAATTAAAATTTATTAGAGCCAATATTTTTTTTATAATTTTATAGAAAACGTCTCAAATGAACAGACGCATCATGAGGTACCAAAAATTACAATACTGTGGTGTTGGTGTATTTAATTATGGCAAAGCACACTAGGGCTATCTGCCTAAGGGGAGGGATGGCTTCGTGGAGGACTTTCTAAGGGAAACTGGCTCGTATAGACGTTACACATGGGGAAACCACGAAAACACCCGAAAACGAACAAAACGTTAAAAAATGTCCCTTTGGAACGTAATTTAAATCTGAAATCTTTCAAATTTTATTTAATTTTATTTTTTTTAATTAAGAAAAGTAATGTATTTCTAACATTTTAATGATAGTAACGAACAAAATTAAATGGTAAAAAATCTTTTTAATTTTTGGCACATTTTTCTCAAATATGTATATTCCACAGGCAACGGTTTCCAGTCAAAATTTCTGCTGTTGGTAAATGGAGCATAGTGCGTTGAGTTTTCTGTGCTCTTCCTATGTCTCTGGGGGCCCACCAGCGCCCGAGCGGTAAAGTCGCTGAACACTGGTAATTCGGTCCGAGGTTCGAATTCCGCGAACGGGCTGGATGCATGAGTGTTTTCGTGGTTTTCCCCATGTGTAATGTTTTCCCCGTGTGTAATGTGTATACGACCAGTTTCCCTTAGTCCTCCACGAAGGCATCCCTCCCCTTAGGCAGATAGCCCTAGTGTGCTTTGTTATAATTAAATACACCACCTATGTTTCTGGGCTGTTTCGATTTGAATAAAATGTATACCTACATTTATGGGAACAAAATTAATTCTTACTGGTTGCTAAACTAATGTTTTCTACTGCTACGTCTTCTAATTAGTTCATATTTTTTAAGTGAGGCGTCTACGTAGGAATTAATCGAAAATTCTTAGTCAAATCCCTGGCCTCCTGGCTTTAGTTGACTATGTCAATTTCCGCTGGCTCTGTTTAAATATTAGTCTATGTATTAGTTTGAATTAACATTTCTAACTGAGCTGCAGGTTATTTAAAATGTATCAAGTAAGAGGACACGTTAATATTAATGTGCCAGAACAACGGGTATTTACATAAAATCGAAGTGGCTATTAGTCATACGTCATTCCAATACGAAGGTATCTTGTTCACGTTCGGTCGAGGAATGCAAATTGCTGGCCCGTGATGCCTAATTTGGCTTATAAGAGAGAAGTCCTGTTGATACTTGCATTGTAGTTAAATGGATAGGAGTTTGAGATAGACAGGAATTATACTCGGGATCAACCAGTTGCATATGCTTTGCTGGTAATCCGCCATTCATAACTTCTGTCAATTAATAGTTTCGATTCAAACTTCCCATCTGCGCCACTCAGCGCCTGAAGACAACAGAAAGTAACGCACGAACTAAAAGGGGGGGTGGATGATGATTCTCCACACCTAGGAGACCACACCTTCCTAACGTGCCTTCTTGGTGTAGCGGTCTGCACGCTGAGCGCGTAGCTGAGAGGTCCTCGGTTCGATTCCCGGCGAAGGCGTTTGCTAATGTTTCATCTAGTCTGCTTCCAAAAATATGCTAATGTCTCTACAGTGGCCCTCGAACTAAAAGGGTGTTCGATGAGGATTCTCCAAACCCAGGATTTGGCGATTGGCTTTCCTAAATAACCCAGTCGCCGTTTAAAACGGGAGTGTATAACGTATTTCTCCCGCCTATGTCTCTACACTATGCTCTACAGAAAGAACACCTTGAGAGGCAAGCCTAACATACTCCTGGCCTAAATAAATCTCTGAACTTTTTAATCTAAGCATGGAACTTATAATTATCTGTATTATATCTAGCATGAAACTTATAATTTATCGTATATTTATTTAACCCTAAACCACTAAACTCGAAATGACGCAGTTAAAAACAATCTGATGTGTACACCACGTGACTGCCTTTTACGTTCTACTAAATTATACACAATTTTTTCTGCACTTCATTTAAATTTATTTCCTCCAATTTCATTAGAGATACATTTGTAACGCAACCTAGACAGTTCAGTTCTCTTTTCACGGCAAGCCAAAAATACATAAACTCAAAATATTTTCATTAAAAATTGTAAAATACAAAATTTTGGAGCTTCAATTCTCTGTTCCAATATATATATATATATATACTATAATGTATTTTTCCCGCCTTCTTAGCATGCCTTCAGGGTGTAATAGTCAGCATACTCGGCGCTTAGTCGAGAGTTCTGACTTCCGGCGAAGGCATTGCTCATTTTTCACGTCTTCTGGCTTCAAAAGAAACTAATCTCTCTAGAGTTGCTCCCGAACTGAAAAAGGTGGTGGGTGATGATTCTACAGCATCAGGATTTGGCGAATAGGTCGCCTAATTTCTAGTCGCCCTTTAAAAGGGGGAGTATATAAGGTATTTCTTCCGCCTTTTTAGCATGCCTTTGTGGTGAGGGCGTTGCTCATTTTTTATCTCTCCTGCTTCGAATTAACCTAATGTTTCTCAAATATGTTTAGTTCGGTCGATTGCAACAAAAAAGAGAGGTGCACAACTACGTGTTATAGCGGTCCCTCAAACAAAATTTCATCGTTCTATGGCTACTCACTTTGCGTTATGCTTGATATAAAGTACGTACGTATATACATCACGAAAAAATCTCTTCTGAATCCATTTTAAATCCATTTTTTAATCCGTTTCGAAAAGAAGAATCCTTTATTCTGTCCGT